CCTCATGCTTGCGGATGAACCGATTGAGGTAGTAGACAAATTTGTTTACCTGGGCAGCTGTATCAGTCCCGGTGGTCTGGCGAAAGATGAAATTTCCATCCAGATTGGGAAGGCCAGAGCGGCTTTTGCGAACCTACTTCACCTGTGGCGTAGGCGTAACATCAGCTTCTCTGTCAAGGGTCGAGTTAACAATGCTGCGGTGCGCTCCATATTACTATATGGATCAGAAACCCGGCCGCTGCGCGCCGAGAACGTCAAAAGGCTTTCGATCGATGTCTTCGGAGCATTGCCCGAATCTGGTGGGAACACGGAATCAGCAATTCTGAAGTACGCCGAATGGTATTCGGGAGAAGTAACTCACCCTCGATAGATGAACTGATCACACTGCACACTTGCGCTGGCTACGCGGTTATTACATCTGACAATGATGAAACCCATCAAGAAACTTAAGCACGGAAGTTGGGAACCCGGAAGTAATACTTTGAAGGTGAAAAATGTATGCTGAAGCAGGACACCACTTCCGATAGTGCAGTTAGCATAGTTTGTGCGGACGCAAGATAATCAACTACTACTATTCGTAAGGAGACTCCTGGATAGCCCACTGTAAACCCTAGCATAACTGGATAGGGATAAACGGCACCAGCAATAACAACAAACTTCGATAGCATTCCCCGTTGGCCAAGTACATGTGAAAGGGCGAAAATATTCGGGCTAAGGCTCCTCCGAAGTCGAGCGAAACGCCGTAGTTTGTCGGCAATATGCCTGACAATGCTCAAGCAGTTGAAGCGATGCAATTACTAATGCACCCTCCTTCTCGAAATCCTGGCGGTACTCTCTCTCGTTTCGCTGGATAAAGTCAGACGAGGTAGCAAGGTCGAAGCTGGGGGCCATGTTATAACTGGTGTAATCTTATAGTCTTATGACTAAAGCGGTTGCTTCAGGTGCCTTTTCTAAAAGATACAGTGAGTGAGTGAACATACATTGTTGGAAGCCACTGTTGTCCCAAGTTAGTTTAGACAACATGGTTCAAAGGGGGCCCTCCGGCATCTTTGAATGATGATGGTGGTCATCTGTTCCGCCCTGCTTTTCGAAGGCCTCTCAGAAACTGAGGGAGGACAGGCAACGGCTGCAGTCGAACGGGTGGGATGTAAGGCACGGGTAGAATTTCCCGGTGTATCGGATAAATTGTCTCTGTTCGCTCCCAGCTGCAATAGCTCACCGATTTTTCAGAACCCTGTGATTCCACCAGTTTCTTTATCTACACGCATACTATGCTTCCGATGATATATGACAAACTATTCGGAAGGACACGTCCCACGGTAGTAAATGTCCTGGGATCCAGTGGATCTTCAAACACTCCGCATACAGTTGAGCTCCCTGACCTATGAATGTCGGTGCTAATCTTGCCCAATTACAACTGACGCCTCCTGAATACATGGCTCGCATAGGACCCAACCGAACAAGGAAGTCAGAGTTGTATGCATAAAGACGACCCGGCTGGTGACACCACGCGACAGTCGATATGGCACGAGATCATTGTTAGTCGTAACACGGGAGTTGTCGGACGGCCTTTTGGCGAAGTGAATACCAGAACCACTGCAGTTGTGCTTCTATTGAACTTGGGCACATACGAATTTAGTGCCACACAACATCGACGACAAATTGCATAACCTCGAGGCAGAGCATCAAAAACAAGACGGACGTGGATTGTGCTGGAGCGCTCTGCGAGGTCGGTGTGCCAGGGCTGCAGGTGACCACTTACGTGGCAGTCACGCAACCAGTCACACCTTTATATCTCATTTCAACCCTAGCCACTATGATTCCGATCGATTAGTTTACTGCATCCGCACCTCCTCTATCCCCTATCCTGTCACACCTTGTGGCACCCAAACCACCCCACATACCTGGTTGTCTAACTGAACACTCCAACGAGGGAGATGTTTACGAATCCTATGGTGTTTCCCCAGGGCACTGCTTGAAGTGAAGTGGGCAACACTGGGTTGATGAATGGATTGTCAAGTTTCTAGCTGAGAAGGCACGAACGTCTTAAAACTCATTCAGGACATCACCGATGCACTCCCAGTAACACCTGCTCTGGGACAAACCCTCGGCACAATGGTGTTAAAGGCGAAAGGTGCCACTGTCTGGCCTTTGTAAATAACGAGCATCACCGTCCTAATCACCCACTGAAAGACGTAAATGATGAAACACTGGTATTTATTAAGATATGAAGATAACGGTACCACAGTAACGCATTGGCGAAATAGGGCTACCTATATTAAACAGTCTTCCGTGTTACGGAAGCGGCCGTTTTCATTACCACAAGCGCATCAGAACTTTATCTCGAGCATATCCACTAAATTGGGCACGCCATCATTTGTAATTGTACGCCGAACATGACAATTACGAATCCTAAGGCGCATCGTTGTGGTGAATTTGACGAGGCAAACTACTGTCTATTATCCATCCGAAACACCAAAATTACTGACTACCTTTGAAGCGTGCGTCCCAACGCTAAGGTCAAACTGCACCGCGCTGTTAGGCAAAAAACCGCCTCCTACTGCTACCTAGTTAGCGCAGTGAAAAGATCGACGAAAACATTGTCAACCAGTGGGCTTCGGTTCGACAAAATCTATCCATTTCCATTGCATCTTAAGTCTCCTTAGATTATTCTTAGACGACATTCTCTGTCCAACATGCTCTACCTTTTAAGCGATAGTCCACTATGTTACTGAAAACTGTCCGCAGCATCTCAACGTCAAGTTATTTTTTATCCCAGGTATTGAGGATAAATCTTATAGGTTCAAAGGACCGATCAAAACTCCAAATTTGTCCGCAGAACGCCTTGCCTCTTAAATTCAAAATAGAGACCTCACTGCAAACCGAGAGTTTAAAACCGGATTCCGTACACACGCCCTGACCCCTTAATACAGTCAGGACTACCGAACGGAGGGCAACTGAATGCCTGGATGAGCGCCATCAGAAGATTTTATGATTATTCGATATCTCACCGAGATTCGCCCATCTCACCGCATCGAACATGTGCAGCAAAGTAACCACCAAATTACACAGTGACGAAGTCGTATTGCATTCTGGTAGCTCTGGCATCACGCTTAAGTCAAATGGTGCGCCTGTCAATCATAAGAAGCAATGTATAGGGACAAAAGACTGATCTTATAATATGGATAAATTACAGTGATGTGACTCAAGTGTACAGAAAAATAATACAGTAATCAATTATACAGAACACATAAATGCGAGCACTCTCATTAAAAGCTTTAATTACATGCCCATCGGTTTCTGCGGTGGAACTTTCTTTCCAATGAGGGACTTGTGGATATGTGGAATAACACCACCACCAGCGATCGTGGCCTTGATCAATGTGTCCAACTCTTCGTCTCCGCGAATAGCCAGTTGTAAATGACGCGGAGTAATGCGCTTGACTTTTAGATCCTTGCTGGCGTTCCCTGCTAGTTCTAATACCTCAGCGGTTAGATATTCCAAAATCGCTGCCGAGTACACTGCGGCAGTGGCTCCAACGCGTCCATGACTAGTGGTTCGTGTTTTGAGATGCCGATGAATACGACCAACTGGAAACTATTTAGAGAACAACGTAAGGCAGCGGCTTCATCATACAATACTCAAAAAGCATGGCAGAATCAGAAAAACTACCACAATGGCTTGTAATCTCAAAACTAAATACTAGAAGCTACTGAGCTATGATAGACAAGTGTCGGTGTGAATTAGTAAGATGTGCGATCTGACACCGTTATACGATCATTTGCCTTGCGCATGATGTACACTGTACAAGTGTAAAGTGCACAGTTCGATGCGCGGCAGAATTACTCTGATTATTTATAATGGTTTGTATATTTACAAGGTCTGATCCAAGGAGGGTAATATCATCGTATTCAATGTGGATGAGTGGACGTCCCGGGAGTACTTCGACGCTCAACGTGCTAGAGGCAAGTAAAGATAGTTCAAGCAGAACACGCATTACGAGATTAGAGGCGAACGGCGACGGGGAACACAGCTGGCATTGGAAGTAGTGAACGCGAGAGAATTGGCCGTCAACACGCCCACGTCTAACGGAGGCGCTTAGGTCCTTCGAAAAACACAAGAGTTCAGGAGGAACAGTCTTCACAACTAGACACTGTCAAAGCTTCTTACAACCAACGAAGTCAAAGAGAATCTGAGATCCATGAAGTCTATTGTCGCTCTCCTGAAGAGGTGTCACCGTTCCTGCATTTGTTGCAAAGTGAAGACAAGATCGGTGGAACCTCAGCAAGAATCTGGCTTTTGACGATCATCATCATCGATAGCATGAAATCAGTGTTCAACACCGCTGCTCCCGATGATAGATGAACTTAAGTAGGATAATATAAGAGAGCACCTTGGAATCTATGGTCAGTAGGCTGCTATCGTCATCATCATCACCACCAAAGACAACATCAGTGTTGATGCTTCAGCATCAGATGCTGATGCTTCACTGCCGTACCAGTAGTCTGATGCACCGGTGGTTTTCGCACGATGTCCTTCCACCCTTTTTAGAGCAGATATCACCGTCGGGGCGCTCCAGTATGCGACATCCTTAGCTCACTCCAGATGCTTTATCCCAAAATAGCCATAAGGGACTCACCACCTGAGCACATGATGCGAATCCTCCGGATCAGGACCTTCGTTACTTTGAAACAGTGAACTCGCATGCATGAACTCCATCGACAACCGTTGACTGGCGGTCACACTCGCCGCAGATTTATTTGGACCCCCCAGAGGTTGAACTGATGAGGCTCACCTGAAATGTTCTTCAGTGCTCAGCCCATGTTTTTTTGTCAATTAATCGAAGACCTACCTCTTTACGAGATCGCTTTATTAACACCAACCCTACTCGGAGTAGTCGATCAAACAAGCTGGAACAGGGTGCGACAGTTCTCTATTACAAAAGCTCTCGATTACCCGGCCTTTTGCAAGCTACGAGCGCTCTCTGTCAATCCTTAAGGTTTTCATTATTCAGCGTTTGAGGAAAGTGTGTTACTGATATTTTTTTCCTGGCTTTCATCAAAGCTGCTGATCATGACGAGATCTGGTGTTCAGTGGGGTGGGCAAGCGACCCTGAGAGACAATATCGAAAGATGCATTGCTTCGTTCATTTTTTTCCAATCATCCAAATCACTATTGTGCCCAGCGAGTTTTGAGGACATCTCCGTCACCTTGATTTGATATTTATGAACTACAGGAACGCTTTGCGCGTGAAATGAATGCCACTGCACCATCCGTGATGACGATGATCCGATGTGACGCAGGGAGGGGGGTGGGAAGCAAATAGATACATGTGCCCGTACGATGCCATGAACGGACTCAAGTGGTGTACTTGCCTCTAGCATCGAAGCCCTCTACCGGCAGTTAATTGTCCCTAGGTTCAGCTGAGTTTAAGGCTGGTTTGATGTTGGCGACTTTAGGGCACACGACCCGAAATAGGTTATGTTCATCACATAACTGAAGAGGCCAGTCCCCAATATCTATGTGGTAGGCGTCAACGTTGAATCGGGCGTCGAAACGGCCCGAACTTAGTCGCCTAAACTATGCATTCATACAATCTGCCAGAATCGCGACACCTGCCTTTGCAGAATGAAGCAATAGTGAAATACTTCGATAGCTGTCTTTTTCAGTCTCAGAACTGCCTCTTGTCAAAGCGTACATGGAAACATCGTCTAGCAGGTCGAGAAGCACTAATCTTCATTGAACCAGATAACCTGACCGTACAAAGACGACTATTCATTGGAATTAAGTCTAGTAAGGCGCACGCAGCCCTGGGGCCGTAGAAACCACGAGTGACTGCGTGAGGACCAACAGATACACGAGGCGTAGTGCAAGAAACCTGGGTTCACCCCTAGTGGTTCGAGACTGACCGGTTCTTGTATCCCTTCCGCGAAAACAACAGATTGATCGGAAGAGGGGACAAGGTCTGCGCAAGTACTACCTGGAAACTAATACAGAACACACGCTGAAAGCCGCAACGTGGAACAGATCCCATGAACTTGATAGGGAATATTTCAAATGGATAGAAGCTGAGAAACGACCGAGGCGCTGCTAGCTAAGTGAACCAGGACTACGGTAAAAGGAGTATGGGAAAGTCAGTGAATGAAGAGCTTTAAGGGTGAATGACACTTCCCCACTTTGGGAGAAAGGGATTTGATTGAAGTACCCGCCTTGAGCCTTTGACTCAAAAGTCTGACCCACAAGGCAGTGGTAGAATGTAGGTTTTTCTTCCGGGACCCTGTTTCTAGCTTGAGACTGAGAAGTCTGAACCACGCGGCAGTGGCAATCAGGATTTCCTTGAGGGACACTGACAACTCACGTCTGAGTCACCTGGCTTCAGGAGTTGGCCTAGACCGAGGGCGAAGGGGGTGAGGCACAGATGTCCGACTCCTAATAACTGACTCCTAACGAGACTGCGCAAAGCAGTTGCCTTTTGAGCAGCGCCAGACTCCGGTTTTCGACCGTATTGAACAACGCGCCGGGGGTTGTGATCGGTGTGTGGTTTTTAGTCGTTACACACCCGTCTCTTCTCATGGATGCAATACTGCCTTTATACTCGTATCACGGAGGACAGTAAAACTTTACCTCTACAAAACTTCGTAATACGAGTTATCGAGCTACGGGACCTCACTGTTCTTCTTCGGGCTACTCTGTTGGCCTTTTTGGCATGGATGCACATTCAGCAACTGAGTTTCAGCAAGTACACCCCTCGGGATCACTGTAGTGCGGAGTCCGATAGCGACGACAAAGACACGGTTTTATGTCGGTATGGACAAGAATATCTTCTCTGAATATAGTTTACGCTGAATATTCTGAACAGGTCTTGGTCAGTTTCCTGATGAGCCTATGTAGCTAGGAAGTTCCGTTGGACGAAAAGGGCTGTTTCAGCAGGGGATCATATAGAAAATGGTAACTGAACAATTTGATACAAGAGGCCACACTCACTACCAACAAGCAGAGTTTCGCTGACAATTCTGTGAAAGCAAAGCAGAACGTCAAAGCTCCGTATGAACGGTTTTAAATGATCCCGCTTAATGTTCACCGGGTCCCCTTCATGGTAACCTTGTAAAACCGTTGAAATACGCAAACCATTGGCAAGCTGCCACCGTTTCTGGTTCACTCGTGAACCAGCGTTTATCATGCAGCATGAATCACCGAGCAAATGATCATATGAACGTATCTCTCGATGTACTAAAACCGTCCTAGAGATTCGTAAGATGAACGCTGATGCCAGTACCGGCTAAATACACGATGTGAATACATGAAAAATGTAGGACGTCAACGTAGCAAAATTCGTTTCGAATTCCCTGTGTACAAGATCATGGCGGCCGTTAGGCGTAATACAGGAAGTTCCAGGCAGTTTACACCCGAATATGAGCAGTCTCCGCTCACGACTGCAGTAGTTCTGCTCGATGTCAGACTGCTCGTGTACTGTTTGATTAGTGGCAAACAGTATACTTTTCGAACGTAAGCTACTTAGAAACTCATTTGCTGCACTAGCGCATTGATAGAATATTTCACAACCTTAGCAGCGTGAACACCGAAACGGTTCCAACGATCAAACATGCGGCTACTACCAAAACCATGCGGCCAATACACTTCCAACGAAATAAAAACCCAGCCGAGAATTACGGATGCAGCTACGTTCGAACTAGATGACATCACAACTTTGTCGCACAATCGAGCGATACCTGAAATCAGTAAGCTCTCGCGAAAACAAATACCAGTTTTCGACTCATTCAAAAACCCATACCGTTATTACCACAATCTTTTGATTTTCGTGACCTGTGAGAATTCCGCGAAAGGACCCGTGAGATTTCAATGAAAATAGCAACCTCAAGTTGCGGGAGTGCTTTGATTTAATGTACTCCACATTCGCCCTAGTTATAACGTTTCTCATTATGTAACCTCTGTTGGCTTTCTCGATTTCTACGTGCATGCGATGCGACTGTTGACGACACTCATCAGTTATACCTACAACACCATCCAACTATGTAACTGCACAGTCCTAGTTGGGGTATTTATTGTTCCAGAGCAGTTATCATAAGAGGGGACGAGAAATTATTTGAGATTGTGGAACTAGCAACAGCCTCCAAGGACCCTTCCTACAATATCCTCTCTACGGACGAAGAACGTTTCTCGCATACATGTTACATAGCTAATTTGTATTGAGCATTGGTGAAAAAATACCCGAATGCATTAAAGCCACTGAACTCACTTGGAGACCCGCGCGGTGCGAGCGGGATATCGCCTTCGCTTTTGCTTTCCCGGAATCTTTCCCAGCTTTGCCACCTGCCTAAATTCAGAAATTAACGGAACACGAAATATACCCACCATCTCGAAATTGAATTTTGAAATGAAGACCAACGGCAGCCGCCAAAACACAAAGATTTAAACAATTGAACAACTCAGTTCGTATCACCAATACATCAACGGTGACAACTCCACGTACTAAGAGCCACGGATTCGTGTAGAGTTTTGATATCCGAACTTCAGCTTAGAATAGTCACCTATCTTGCTGACAAATCCCATCAAGTAAAGGAAAGTCGACAGCTGTGTGAAGGATTGCACCGCGTGATTCACGGATTCACGGATTGTTACACAGGATCAGGGCTATTGCCCAAGCACCGCTCTTTATGTTCACAGCGCGGGGCAGCATGCTCGCCAGCGCGAGGATTCGCATATATAAGTGCCCAATAGTGCTTTAAACTGGGTTCTAGAAGGAGCGTGAACAACCGTGAAAGGAAGGTGATTCCACGCACCTACTACCCGAAATGAGAAAAATTTTGTCTAATAAATGTGTGCTCTGAGCCTGGAGATTTTCTTACTATGTCCCCGCCGTGTGCTTTCTGGGTCAACGGTGAAAAACCTGCTGGCCAAGGCTGGTCCAAACAGGGCGCAATTAAGAATTAGGTCCCCTCGGAGGCGACGGCACTCCAGAGGAAGATCAAGCATCGCGAGGCGCATTCCATAGCCCACAGATTTGAGGCCGGCAACCATTCTCGTGGCGGCTCGCTGGACACGCTCAATGAGGGTGACGTCGTTCATGCGTCATGAGTAGACAACTTGGATGGCGTATTCCACGAGCGGTCTGGCGTAGGCCCCGTAGGTTATTGGATGTCCATGTGAGTAAGACGGGAGAAGGTGCGTCGGATCGTCCGCAAAGTGCTGAATGCCTTTTGGGCTGATTTATCATGGTGTACTGAGAAAGACAAGTTTGAGGATACCCAGATGCCCAAATCCTTTTTGGCATCTATCCTCATGATTTTTTCTGGCCCTTTCTCACCATGAATAACACCGCGAGAAACGGTATAAACTAGTTAAACATGTGAATTTGGGGCTGAGGTTTTTGAAAATTTTGAGAACCCTACAAACTCGTGAGGAAGAAGGTATATCGAGGCGGTAGTCAGGGACAGTGCTTTCTCCGAGAAATTCCAGGTTCATTTTGGAGAGGTTTGGGAAAAAGATTTCCATGGTCCAGATTACCAAAGACATGACAGGATTGGCTTTGATATCGTTTTCCTACCTGAAAAGTTGCCAGCCTGGGTTGAACGCAATGCGAATGCTTCTTAATCGTTGGTATTTTAGTTGATAGCTTATCAGGCAATAGTAAAATGTTGTTTTGCTTGATAGGATTTGTTCCACATGGGTTCGTTTTATTCTCCGCCCAAAATTGTCGCCTACCTATAGGGAGCCACATACCTGGACAGGTAAAGCCATGAAGTCAGTCCACTTTTTTCAGCATAGTAGAGAGGCAGAATTATTCGGAGAGTTCAGGCTTGCGGGTTAGGTTTTGAAGAAAACTTTGGATGAACCATCGGACTGGACAAGACAAGGCAGGGTGTTATTTCACTTCCGTTCTTGGGCTCTTAAATAACGGGCTCCAAGTATGAGGCAGCTGAGTAAATGGTATCGGGGATGCCACCGGTTGCCAGATAGACATCGGGGCTGCTGATTACTTACGGTCGCTGAACAGAGAATGGGAGGTAGTGGGGCCAGCGGGGGGTGAAGAAGCGCCAATAATAGCGGAGAGTTCCCCATGTGGTCAAGTTACCAGCACTGGATGATCAAGTGCGGAAAGGGAAAGACTTATTCGTTTGATAGCCAGTGGCTGAATAAGAGTATTTGATAGAGAAATCGGGTACCGACCCACGGAATAGGAACGATATGACACAACAAGTAGTGTTCCCCCAGCCAAGTAAAGCTGGTGTGCATGATGGTCAAAGCAGAATGCAGCCAGGGAACAATGCGTCTATTATCAAACAAAAAACCATCGGTCCGGGTACTCCCAAATGAATGGACTGTGGAACCAGACCTCTCAGAGTACTGAGGGGTCGCAGGAATGGTGAAGAAAAATAAGATAAATGGTCCGCCCTTCACACCGCAAAAAGCAGGACACAGGGTGCGGTTAAGATGGACAACACATTCCGAGGTGGTACGAAGGTACAGTGTCAAATAGGCCGATTTGGTGGCAAAGAAGATGTGACCTAAATAATGATAAGAAATGCGCATCCAAAGGTTCATTGGGATGCCAATTTTAAGGCTCAGGAAGTTTCTGGTAATAAGTCAGGTGTATAGCCAAAGAACGAAGATAACACACGGGCAACTTCAGCTCCATGGATGATAGATTTCCACGGTGAGGAGTTCCACTTGAGGGGCGGCGTACAGCAGGGACACTCGTGGAATGGGTCAGCAGCTGGCTTAAAAGGAAGTGTAGGGGTTGCGAAGTAAACGAACCTTGAGTGTGTAAAGTTTCTATGGGGTTTGTGGTGGTTTCTTACTGCAGACCAAGTAGAAGGTTAGGGATTTTCGGTGCTTTTGCTCCTTCCATTCGCTGCTGACAGCTCCAAGCGAACACTGCCATCGAGCCATAAAATATCCAATGACGCCGATCATAAATATACTAATGTTTATTCCCAAGTTGTGGGTGGCACACCGCCTGGCATGATCAGTTTACAGTCAGAATGTAGCATGGTTGGGGATTTGCGGGTACAGCAGATTGCGCGAAGAGAGGACAATGTCATAAACAGTGGGAAATATCCGATGAAATAATAATAACAGGTTAATTTCTTAGCTTGCAGGGAACAATGGGTATGAGGTCCGAATAGTTCAAACACATAACCGGCGGGCATGAACTTAAACGGAAAACCATCGCTGGTCTTGGGCAGCTGGGCAAATGACCGGAGTCACAACGAAATGTGTTTGGTTGAATTGTTGTGCGGAAGTCAGGTGCGGGGGATAGGTTGGATAGGTTGAATGAGAAATAGTGCTACTACATAGGGCGACCAAAACACCGTACACGGAATTGAACCTGTGGAAGAGGCAAGCCCAAATTGTAGCAGAAAACCAGCCTAGCCAATTTTGAGCGGAAATTCATCGGGTATGAAAGAACTCGTCCAAGAAACGGTTGGGGCCAGTTGGAAAATTTGCTCGTATTTGCGACTAAAGGCCCGAGTGGGCAAGGGGATGCCGTCGAGATTCTGGAGAAAGTAGTTGCGGGAGTACCATCGCACCGAGCATGACAGTGCCATGCCATCATTATACTGACATGCTTCGGTTTACAGGTAATCCCGTAACGGTCGTCAAGTGGATACGGATTTCCGTGGCAGCTGGGTTCGGTTAAGGCGAGGAGAGTGACACGGGGAATCAGGGGGATACAGTGTCACGGATAATGTCCCTTCAGTTTGAGGACCGCGGGAGTGTAGACTGGACACCAGCCATATTGAATGAACAACAGTTCTACGGAGCGTTTGGGCAACTGCAGTCGAAGATTGAGGTTTGAGAAGAGGGGCAACGAGGAAGCAATAGAATGAAAGCAATGGCGTTTGGTGAGTGCCAGGAGGCATAAGATACAACGGTGCCAGTAGAGAGGCAGAATTATTCGGAGAGTTCAGGCTTGCGGGTTAGGTTTTGAAGAAAACTTTGGATGAACCATCGGACTGGACAAGACAAGGCAGGGTGTTATTTCACTTCCGTTCTTGGGCTCTTAAATAACGGGCTCCAAGTATGAGGCAGCTGAGTAAATGGTATCGGGGATGCCACCGGTTGCCAGATAGACATCGGGGCTGCTGATTACTTACGGTCGCTGAACAGAGAATGGGAGGTAGTGGGGCCAGCGGGGGGTGAAGAAGCGCCAATAATAGCGGAGAGTTCCCCATGTGGTCAAGTTACCAGCACTGGATGATCAAGTGCGGAAAGGGAAAGACTTATTCGTTTGATAGCCAGTGGCTGAATAAGAGTATTTGATAGAGAAATCGGGTACCGACCCACGGAATAGGAACGATATGACACAACAAGTAGTGTTCCCCCAGCCAAGTAAAGCTGGTGTGCATGATGGTCAAAGCAGAATGCAGCCAGGGAACAATGCGTCTATTATCAAACAAAAAACCATCGGTCCGGGTACTCCCAAATGAATGGACTGTGGAACCAGACCTCTCAGAGTACTGAGGGGTCGCAGGAATGGTGAAGAAAAATAAGATAAATGGTCCGCCCTTCACACCGCAAAAAGCAGGACACAGGGTGCGGTTAAGATGGACAACACATTCCGAGGTGGTACGAAGGTACAGTGTCAAATAGGCCGATTTGGTGGCAAAGAAGATGTGACCTAAATAATGATAAGAAATGCGCATCCAAAGGTTCATTGGGATGCCAATTTTAAGGCTCAGGAAGTTTCTGGTAATAAGTCAGGTGTATAGCCAAAGAACGAAGATAACACACGGGCAACTTCAGCTCCATGGATGATAGATTTCCACGGTGAGGAGTTCCACTTGAGGGGCGGCGTACAGCAGGGACACTCGTGGAATGGGTCAGCAGCTGGCTTAAAAGGAAGTGTAGGGGTTGCGAAGTAAACGAACCTTGAGTGTGTAAAGTTTCTATGGGGTTTGTGGTGGTTTCTTACTGCAGACCAAGTAGAAGGTTAGGGATTTTCGGTGCTTTTGCTCCTTCCATTCGCTGCTGACAGCTCCAAGCGAACACTGCCATCGAGCCATAAAATATCCAATGACGCCGATCATAAATATACTAATGTTTATTCCCAAGTTGTGGGTGGCACACCGCCTGGCATGATCAGTTTACAGTCAGAATGTAGCATGGTTGGGGATTTGCGGGTACAGCAGATTGCGCGAAGAGAGGACAATGTCATAAACAGTGGGAAATATCCGATGAAATAATAATAACAGGTTAATTTCTTAGCTTGCAGGGAACAATGGGTATGAGGTCCGAATAGTTCAAACACATAACCGGCGGGCATGAACTTAAACGGAAAACCATCGCTGGTCTTGGGCAGCTGGGCAAATGACCGGAGTCACAACGAAATGTGTTTGGTTGAATTGTTGTGCGGAAGTCAGGTGCGGGGGATAGGTTGGATAGGTTGAATGAGAAATAGTGCTACTACATAGGGCGACCAAAACACCGTACACGGAATTAAACCTGTGGAAGAGGCAAGCCCAAATTGTAGCAGAAAACCAGCCTAGCCAATTTTGAGCGGAAATTCATCGGGTATGAAAGAATCGTCCAAGAGAAAAATCTAAAAGGGGATGACGGCAAGCCGAATGGACCCAGTAAATGTGGACACGCTTGCTAACCTAGGAATAAAGTACTAGTTGGGCTAGGGTAGATGCCTCGTTCCCGGCAGGCCAGCTTTTGAACCACTTGAAACTGGGTGTGACCCATTCGCATTGACGAGATGGGCACCTTGGTCGGTAGTATTTTCCTGAACTTATTTCAATTATGCAGGACAGCCACTGGAATTAGCGTCAAATCATCAATGCGTAAAAGCCAGTACGGACCCATGCTTTTTTCCTGCGGTAATAACACCGTTTTTTGTTGAAAAATGTGCACTTAAGCTATTTGGATTTCTGGGTTTCCCCAGTAATTCAACTTAGTCCACCTGATTGCGGGGCTGCTTCGGAGTGAAATCTGATGTCGTCTGTTTGTCCCAGCAGTTCTTCCAACCTGGATTTGGAGAAACTCTAATCTGGGATAGTGAAAATGTAAGGTGG